CGATAACAACTGCACTTGGAGAAGAGTTATTGTCCTTGTCGTATTGACTAATGTCTACATTAGCGTATCCATCATCCGGTGAAGGTCTTACTGGGGAGGGTTGATCGTATTGATCTTTCTTTCGTCGTTTACGTCTCACAAGACTGAAAGATATACAGATATAGTAATAAGACGTATATTGTATTTCCATTTTAAATTAACCAAAACAGAATATTAATGGGATAAGGGGGAAAAGGACGAAGAAATTAAATATAAACAGGATTGTTATCACTAACTTCTGAAAAACCTCGATAAGGAAGATAAAAAGATCTGCGAATTTGGTTGGATGATTATCAATTTGCGGAACAACGATGATGTAATACGTTTTCAGCAGAATGGCGACAGTTAGAAGGGAAACAAGAGAAAGTGCTAGTCGTGACAAGAGACGTGATGCATGCATGGATGCACAGAATGACGACAGTAAAGTTAGAATGGAACAAAGCGAAAGAGTGAGAGTCGTGATAAGGGAATGCATGGATGAACAGAATGACGACAGTTAGAAGGGAAAACAGATAAAGGGGCGAGCGTCGTGATAATTGAATGAATGGATAGCAGAGGAACTCGAAAGTAAGGAAGGAAGGAAGAAGAGTAATTAGTAAGACAGAGGGTGTATCACTTCGAAAGAACACTTAAAGACGTGATAATAGGGAAGTGACACCAAGGATGTAAGAATTGATAACAGACATGAATGAGAAGAATGATATCGAAGGGAATAAATTGTGTAACAACTACTTACCAAATGATCAATATTAATATCAGAATGATCAATACCACAGCGCCACCAGCTATACCTCCTATCAAACCTATACCTAAAATATAGTAAAATCCAGTTCCAATAGCAAACTATTGAATGAAAGAGGTTCGCCAACCGTTTGACCAATTGGACCTTGGTTTGAGAAACTGGAATTTTTTAGTTAAGCTTATCAGTAACAGTGTTCATAATTCACAGTCGAAATTAGAACTTTAAAATACATATGTGTCCAGAATTATCCGCGTTTGAAAGTTTGAAAATGTCGAGTCTTTTCTTGAGACAAAGAAAAGGCATATATAGAATAGAAAGTGAAATTCCTAGTTTGAGGTACTTTTAAATTAATTATGTGCTTTTAATACATTTCTAGTACTTCTGAAGACTATTTACATAATATATTCAGGTCCCAAATCAATCCCTAAAAATGGCGAACCTTTAACCCCCCAATATTAATAGGAGAAAATCAAAGATGAATCAAAATCCAGTTGGATTAATTTGCTAACATTTTTCATTTGAAGGAGGTCTGTATTTATTTTACCATAAAACACGATATCTTTAATTTATTTGTGGAAATATTGCTAAGCATGTCCAATAGGATAATCAAGGTTATATTTTTCAATTTATATACCTAACTCGATTAATTAAGATTAATATCTTAAAAAAATAACAAAGTGACAATTTTCATATAAGCATTTAAGAAATTTGACTTTTTATCTAGACCATCTGTGGTACTATTGGTAGTTACTTCTACAGATGATGCTGTATTTGTACCAGTTGGTGCAGTACCTGACGGTTCTGTTACTATACTTGTAGTTGTTAAGGGACTTGTAGCTGTGGTTGTAACTTGACTAGTAGTTTGTGTACAGAGTTGTTTTGTAGTGACATTTGGACTGTAACAAGTTAAATTGATACCTAGAAAATAGTCAATAAAAATGATTTCAAAATTTTCAATACAGTAATGTTATAAATCTAAATTTAGTCTTCATAATTATAATTATTCTTATATTCCCAATCTAAAGATAACTTTGAATTTGTTATTGTTTGTATTATATTCACTGAAATGGTGAAGACTTGTAAAGATCTGCTACTGAATAGAACTTTTCAAATTATCAGCTGCTGGTGAACTTAAAAGTAAGTATTAGAGTATCATTGTAAAGATGTATTTGTAAAGGAGTTTCAACTGAAATATTTTCAATGATATAGTGTTCTCAGGTAAGTGTCGAAACAATCAAAGAGCTAAAGTATCTTTTATATAACATATCGTGTATGTTTTAAACAATTTTATTTCTGAAGTCTAAAAAAATCAAAAACAACCTATGGTCGACTTGGCACAGACTGTAATATATAATGAGGAACACACCTTACCTACGGATGAATTAATTTTAATTCCAAATTCTAGACCATCATTTATAGAACAGTCATTTTCTTCTAGTTTTATCTTTAATTGGTTTGATCCATTGATGGAGTAGAAAATATCTGGAGACATATTGTTTTCAAAATAACTGGTAGAAGTTCCATTAGAAACAGATAACTTGTATTGTTGGCCAATAAAACTAGAGACATTGAATATAACTTGAGCTGAACTTCCAGTTTCTGATATAATTTGACACCAACAATTGGTAGAAGAATTCTTGCTGTTTCTAGTTAGGAAAACAAAATCTATAGTCAGTGTCTTGTTTTCACACATAACAACTAAAACGATAAAATATATCTAGGATATTAAGTATGAAAAAAAACATCTAAAATTTAATACCAACACCCATCTAATCGTGTTAAAGGGGCAGTATGCAGAATTTACATTATCAAAAACATCATAAATTATACCTTTAATATTTCTAAAGTATGCTATTTATATCTTTGTATCTACTTGATCAAACTGTCTTAAAAGGATTAATTAAAAACAGAAAGTAACAAGAAGTTTGACCTCGGTTTGGTGTGTGGCTTTATGGTGGCTCGATATTATTAGTTGAAACCTTTAGAATAGGTAGGGGACTTATTTCTCTACAATTAGGCTTTAATTTTGCTTAAAAACGTACACTAGTTTTCTAAAACCTACCAAAAAGCATAACGAACTTAAAAACCTTACTTAATGTTTTTAAATAGTTTTGGCTTTTACAAATTAACGACTTGATTTTTTAGTAAACTTTCAGATACTTTAAGGACACATTTCTCGAG